TGGCATATTAGAGAAACTCCTTATGAAATATTTAACTTTATACTGTGCTGTCCACAAATGACATTTTAAAAACATTTTCAACCTTTCTTCTGAAAGCAACATTTATATAAAATAATAGCACCAGTCTTAAGTAGATGAGTTTTGACAACCATCAAAACATCCCCACCATCACGATCAGGATATTACTCCAAAAGATCTGCAGTCAACCCTGCCCCTCCTCTGGCCCCAGTCAACCACTCCTCTGCTTTGGGTCACTACAGATTAGTTTCACCTGTTCCAAAATTTCATATAAATGGAATAACATAGTAGTATGAACGCCTTTATTCCTACCTTCTCTCATTCGGCATGTTTCTGAGATTCACCTAGTTGTATATATTAGAAGTTCGTTCCTATTTTCAGCCACGTAACATTCCATTATATGAACACACCACAATTTGTTTAACAATTAACTTGATGATAAGCACTTGGGTTGTTTCCATTTTGAAGTGATTATAAATAAAACTATTAAACATTTATGTGCAAGCCTTTGTGTTGATGTACGTTTTCATTTCTTTGGCATAAATACATTAAAGTGGGATTACTTGGTTATGTGGTAACTGAATGTTTAACTTTACAAGAAACTGGCTAAATGTTTCCAAAAGGGCCATACCGTCTACATTGCTGCCAGCAACATGAAAGAATTCTACTTGTTCAGTACGATAGTTTGTTTTGTGTTACTTTTTAAAATTTGAGTCATTCCAGGGGTGCCTGGGTGGCTCAGTCAGTTAAACGTCCAACTTTGGCTCAGGTCATCATCTGGCGGTTGGTGAGTTTGGGCCCTGCATTGGGCTCTGTGCTGACACAGCTGCTTCAGCTGCTGTCTCTTTCCCTCTCTCTCTGTTCCTCCTCCTCTCACACACTCTCTCTCTGTCTCTCTCTCAAAAATAAATAAGCATTAAAAAATGTTTTAGACAGGGGCGCCTGGGTGGCGCAGTCGGTTAAGCGTCTGACTTCAGCCAGGTCACGATTTCACGGTCCGTGAATTCGAGCCCCGCGTCAGGCTCTGGGCGGATGGCTCAGAGCCTGGAGCCTGTTTCCGATTCTGTGTCTCTCTCTCTCTCTGCCCCTCCCCCGTTCATGCTCTGTCTCTCTCTGTCCCAAAAATAAATAAACGTTGAAAAAAAATTTTTTTTTAAAATAAAATAAAAAAATGTTTTAGACAAAATAAAATTAAAATAAAATAAAATAAAAAATAAAATTTCAGTCATTCTAGTAAGTAAGTATATCATGGTATCCATTATGATTTAACTTGAATTCCCTGGTGATTAGTTATATTGAGCAACTTTTCATATGTTTACTGCCCATTCACATATATTGTTTTATGAAGTGTCTATTCAAATATTTTGCCCATTTTTATTGGGATGTTTTGGCCTTATTCTTTTAAGAGTTATTTATAAATTCTAGACACAAATTCTCTGTCAAATATATGGATTGCACAGACTTTCTCCCAGCCTTTGGTTTGCCTTTTTATTTACTTTAATAGAATCTTTTAAAGAGTATAAATTTTTAGTTTTTGTGAAATCTGAGTTATCAAATTGTTCTTCTATAGCTAATACTTTTTTCTTCTTAAGAAATCATTGTCTGCTCCAAGGTTATGAAGGTTGTCTTCCACATTTTTGGTTACTTTTATTTTCACAGAAAATACTTAATTTTCTGCCTGTGTTCCTTATATTGCATTTTTAGATCTTTTGCAATCCTTTCCAACTGTTAGGCCTAGTTTTTATCAAATATTTTTAATGTGCTGGGCATTTTAAAAAAATTTTTTAAGGTTTACTCATTTTTTAGAGACAGAGAGAGACAGAGCGTGAGGGGGGAGGGACAGAAAGAGAGGGAGACACAGAATCTGAATCAGGCTCTAGGCTCTGAGCTGTCAGCGGAGAGCCCGACACAGGGCTGGAACTCACAGACTGTGAGAACATGACCTGAGCTGAAGTTGTATGCTTCACAGATTGAGCCACCCAGGCGCCCCTGCACTAGGCATTTATAAATAAATTATCTTACACAAATTCTAAAACAGTCCAAGTGAATTAAATATTATTGTTATCCTCATTTTGTAGAAGAGGTATGTAAAATATGGATAACGTAAAAAAGCCAAAGGGCCAGATTTCAAACCCAGGCAATCTATTCCTAGGGCCATGTTATGTGGCCCCTTAGTCCATTTCCTTTACTAGGACTTTCCAACTCACTCTGTTGTGTCTCACCTTATCTTTTATTTTCATCCAAGTTTTTCCTCTTTTTGGAGCTGTTCCTGGTTCCTAATACTTTACAATTCTTTGAGGATTTCAAAAATTTCTTGAACTTTTTTTTATCCTAACATGTAGTTTTTAGTCTATCTTCCTTCACTAATTCTTTATCCTTGTCCATGCCTTCACCACTAAGCTACCAGGTTTCATGTATTTATGTTTTCACCTGTTCAAATATGGTAAATTCAGACTATTTTGACTGTAGATTTACTTTGTTAATATATAGTGTGTTCTGACATTGTGAGATTTTTGCATAATTCCTAAATGTGTACCTGTACATTTTTACCTACCCTGATATATGATTAGTTGGGAGGTAAGTGAAGGTCCATAGCTCCTACTCAAATTCCCCTTTTTTCCTGGCAGTTCTACCCCATTGAAGTAACATGCTTTTCTGACCCAAAAGCCTGGTTACTGATATCCTAAATCAGTGCAGTCCGTGGAAGCTGTAATTTTCATTAAGCATTCCTTCAGAGACTTTTCTAGGTTACAAACCACACCAATATGGTTTACTTACTAAACAGCAACATGCAAGGGCTGAGACTTCCTCACACATGGAGTGCTTAATATCCAATTGGTTCTTGGAAATTACTATCTGTGAAGGATTACGTGAAGAAGATGAAGAAGAAATGTGAGCCACCAAGTTCTAGCTGCCTTAAGATGAGGAAAGATCAGGGTAGAAGGACAGCTGCTCATACCTTAAGTTTCTGACTCTAAACAATGTCTAGAAGGTATAAAGGGTTTACTGAAGTTTCCCAGGCATCCTCTGTCACATGAAGCAATGCTCTAGTAAAGTTTTCACAAGCCAGTTCTATCTATATACATATCCATGTAGGAAGATCAACATACAGGCACTGGAAATAAGTTAACTATTATTTTGTGCTCATAAAATGTCTGTCATGTGTTTTGATTCTTTGAAAGTATTTTACTGAGGGCTTAAAAGAAACACCATCAGGGTTACTTATCAACACCATTTTAAAGCAAAATTTCCATAAACTATTCCTTCTCATCTTTAAACCTCAAGTGCTGTTTTTTTTTACTTTATTTATTGCTCATTTATTTTTATTGTGGTCTCACATTTCCTAACACAGCTTGAGTCAATACCTAGTAGTTAGCATTCAGCTGATTTTTTAATTTCACATTTTATTTAGACAATTTTATCTTATTGTATTGTATTTTCAAATGTCTATTTATTTTTGAGAGAGAGAGAGAGCAAGCAGGAGTTGGGGGTAAGGGTAGAGAGAGAGGGACACAGAAGATCTGAAGCAGGCTCTGTGCTGACAGCAGTGAGCTGCCGTGGGGCTCAAACTCACAAACTAGGGATCTTGACCTGACCTGAAGTTGTATGCTTAACTGACTGAACCACCCAGGTGCCCCTTATTTAGACAATTTTAAAAAAATTTATCATAATCTCATTTGGGAATGCTATTTCTAGCTTATCATTTTTTTTTCTTACCTCTACAATTAAACATCAGCTTCCTTTATCGAAGGACAACAGCAATTTCTAGTTTCAAATCTGTTCAATGAAAATGGAATCCGGGGTGCCTGGGTGGCTCAGTGAGTTAAGTGTCCAACTTCAGCTCAGGTCATGATCTCACGGTTCACAAATCTGAGCCCCCCCATTGGGCTCTATGCTGACAGCTTGGAGCCTGGAACCAGCTCCAGATTCTGTGTCCCCCTCTCTCTCTGTCCCTCCCCCACTCACACACACACACACACACACACACACACACACACACTCTCTCTCTCTCTCTCTCTCTCTCTCTCTCTCAAAAATAAATGTTAAAAAAATTGAAAAAAGAAAAAAAAAAGAAAATGGAATCCATAGTTTTTTATTCTTTTTTTTTCTTTATAGATGAGAGAGAAATTGGAAAACACTGTTGAAAGATATATGAGATCCTCCAAATAATTTATGTAGATAATTCACCTCAAAGAGCTGAAGCTTTGTTCCCCACATTTTAAGTCACTGGGGGCTGCATATAGTGATGTCCTTCAGGGAAGTATGATATATAATTGTAGAATGATTAAAGAGAAAAATAACCATTTTAAAGTAGAGATAAATCTGACAAACACTACCTTAGGTGATCAAGGCTAACATCAATAGTGATAACTCATGTTGATAGTATGCACCCTTGATATGATATGATGAAAATGACACTTTACCTCTTCCTCCCAATAGTTCATAACCCAGGGCAATTGTGGGGAAAACATCAGATTAATTCCAATAGAAGAAAATTCTACAAAATATATACCCAGTACTCCTTAAAATTGTCAAGGTCATCAAAGCAAAGGAAGTGTAAGAAACGGTCATAGACAAGAGGAGCCTATGGAGACCAGATGACTAAATGTAATGTGGTATCCTGAATGTCATCCAGGAACAGAATAAGAAAATTAGGTAAGACTAAGAAAATCTAGTAAAGTGTGGACTTTATTGATAAGAAAATGTTGATATTGGTTCCTTAGTTGTGACAAATGTACTATACTGATATTAATATTAATAACAGAGGAAAGTGGATGTGGAGTATATGAGAAATCTATTATATTTATAATGGCTCTGTAAATCTAAAACTGTAAAATAAAAAGATCTTAAATAAAAGTATATGACATCAATTTATGTAAATAGATGAGAGTCTCATAGTATCAGACATATATCTAGATAAAAAGTAGTCTCCCAATAAATGACTGTTTAATTGATTTCAATTCAATGCAACAAGTACTTACCTGTGCATCAAAAGTCCTGTATGATAGGAGATGTCACATGCAGAGCTCTGTTATCTAAAAAGGTAACATGACTGATTGTTAAAATATAGACTAATTTTCCAGGCTTTTAAATTCCAACAGAGAACCTGATTACATTTGCACTGCTATTACAGGTGCACTACTGAATCTTCTTGGCCACAGATTTTTTTTTTTCAGAGACAAACAGGAAATTAAAACAGGAAAACTTCCTGCTTTAGGGTTTAAACATTTATTATGTTTGACAACAGGTAACAGAGCTAATGCTATCTACTCACTACCTAGTCACCACTTTCTCTTTAACACTAGAGTTTGGCTCCTACTGAAGATTAACCTCACCCAAACTATGACATTGATGCTACAAATATGTACACAACACTCTTCATCATGATGTCTATAATCTATTCCTGTCAATTCAAAGGAGTATCCTTTGTTTACATTAAATTTTCATAACAAATGGTTGAAGTGTTTTTTCAGGATATTATAAAAAGTGGCATGAAGTTTTACAAATTAAATTTTTCTCTGCTTAAGACAATTATGTTTTACAATAGCTAAGTTTCACCATTATCCCTCTGCAATGACATTCAATGACGATGTTAACGGTTAGCCAAATTAAAAACAAGAAATTTAATTTGCTCTTTCCAGGTAAAAAAAATAAAAGTTAAGTAGATTTTGTGGTTTAATGTTTATTAAGTTAATATGGGATATTAAATTAATATTTAATATATTAATATTAAATGAATGCATTCAATAATGTAATATGAAATTTACACATAAAACTAAACATTCCCTTATACATAGCATTTTTCTATTTTTTGTAGCTCTACATTTATTGCTAAAATAAATGTAGTTTATTTGACTTGAATCTAGAATGAAATACAAAGTGTATCTAACATTGTTTGCATAGGCTCTATAATTTACGATCCTTTTGGAACACTTTTAGTAGCTGCAGCAACTCAGCCTGGGGAGAAATATTAGTTAGCAAACAGCTGTGAGAAAAGTTTATGATGAAGCAAGAAAATACACTGATTTCAAACATAAATGGTTATACTTACATAAAAATATTTTTCCTGGCAATGCACTGGTCAAACATATAAAAATTAACATAAGTACATATTAATAAAAACGGGGATCACATATGACATTCAATAAGTCTGAATATTTATGAGGCCAGTTTAATAAAAACAGGAGTTGTTGTACCTTGTTTTCTTAGTGGGAGCTGAACCACTAACTAGCACAGGGTACAATTAATGTCAGCATTCTAGCTATGGGGTTGCTGGCTTTTACAGGGCAAAGATAGCAAACACTTATTATCCAAAACATTTTATGGTGCTGAGTTCCTTCAGTTGTAAACTTCACAGAGTAGCTAAATTCATGTGATAAAGTATAGAGGTGCTTTAATGATGGCCATTCAATAAAGACCAATAAAGTGGTTCTGGGTGAGACTGGAACTCTACTCCATTTTTAGAAGTGTACACACACATATACACACGCACGCATGCACACACAAATGTATTGCAGTTTATGTAACACTTTACCTTTTGATTTAATGAAAGAAAGCAATAATACATTAAAAATGGGAAAATTCTTTGACCCATTCCTCCTAGTCAGGAGCAGATCTTGGTATTGTTAATACTATAGGTTCTTTTGAAGATGATAGGAAGAAGTATCTACCTTCTAAAGCCACAAACATTTTTACTTAATTATTTGCAGTCTCATTCCCCATATGCATTGATTCCCATTTTCTTCTCATTAAAAGACATTTTAATGCAAAAGTATTCTTCAAGAGATCTTTGTGTGTTAAACTTCCAAGCCCTTAAAGGACATCAGAATATCCTTGCTGTACACACATTTATTTCAGTGTTACAGCTCTCTAACTGTTGAGAAATGTGATATGCAGTCAATTCTTATTCTTTTGTAAGTACTCTAGAAACTTTTATACCTTCCTCTTTGTCTTCCTTGGTCATTGAATTCAACTATAGTCTATCCAGGTGTATTTTTTTTTCTTTTATCTCTAACTTAATTGGTGTAGTAGGTTGTTTGTAAAGATGAGTAATAATTTCTGTTTTCACATTTGTCTGCTATTTTTGCAACATGCCTTTAATGTTCCTCCTTTAAGAAAGAACAGTCTACTTTTCCATCCAGATTTATTAACAGCTATTTGTTTACCCCTGTTCATAGCAGCAATATTCGCAATAGCCAAGAGGTGGAAGCAGCCTAAATGCCCATTGACAGGTGAACAGTTTTAAAAATGTGGTAAGTAGAATGGTATTCAGTCTTAAAAGGAAAAAAAAATTCTGGCACATGGTACAATGTGGATGAACCTTGACGACATTATGGTAAATGAAATAATCCAGTCACAAAAAGGCAAATATTGTAAGATTCCACCTCTCTTAAATTAAATTCAAAGCATTTAAATTAGTTTGAAGTAGTTAAATTCAAAGAAACAGGAAGTAGAATGGTCATTGCTAACGACTTGAAAGAGGGGGAAATAGTGAGTTATTTCTTAGTTGGCAAAGAGTTCCAGTTTTGCCAGATGAAAAGTCCTGGAGATTAGTTACACAACAATGTTATTATACTTAACACTACAGAACTGCACACTTATAAAGGTTCAATGGTAAGAGGAAACTTACCATTTTTTATGGACATTTTTAGTGCTTTGGGTCTCAAGTGCTTCTTAAAATTCTTCTCACATTTGGAGAATTTCTTATATTCTGAGTCCATGCAAGGCACTCATTTTTCCAGTTTCCCTTGTAGCCAGATACAGGCATATGACTTGGCTCTGACATTCAAAATCACCCTTGCAAATCTTCAATTCAGATGCAGTGCAGAAGGTGACATCACACAGGATTTTTGCACCAGCAATGGTGGGAGCAGACACACGGTCCACTGTCTTCTGACAAAGCAGCACTGATGGGGAGAGGGTCAGTGGGATGCTTCTGCACTGTGTGCCTGGTGCCAGCCATGGAGACTCTAAGGGGCCAGCCCTGTAGTATAATATGGGTGTTGTTCCCAGCTGGGTTGCATCCAAGTCTGAATCTGTCTCTGCAAGATATTCTGGGATCTACCTAATATCTTCAATAAGTTATTTTTCTGCTTGAATTAGCTATATGCCCTTTACTAGGTTCTTAACAATGGAGAGTCTGAGGCAAAAGCTGATGTGCTATTTTTTTTATTTGTACCTATATGAAAGCAGTGTGATTGAAAGTTTTTCATCTTATTAAAAGAGACAGAATAACAACAACAACAAATACTGAACTGGCTGAGTTCATGTGGGGTAAACAGTAGTGACTATAGGAAAGATTGAAATCCTTGTTAGATAACAATAAAGCAGTTAGGAGACTTTGGCTATGGTGCCTTGGGGTTCAGTGTGCCTCACAAAGCTGGAGCTTTAAAAAAAATTCAAGAGGCACCTGGGTGGCTCAGTTGGTTGAGCGTCCAACCTCGGCTCAGGTCATGATCTCATGGTTCTTGAGTTCGAGCCCCGCATTGGGCTCTTGGCTGTCAGCACAGAGCCCGCAATGGATCCTCTGTGCCTCCCTCTCTCTGCCCCTTCCCTACTTGTTTTCTCACTCTCTCTCTCTCTCTCAAAATAAATAATTAAACTCCGTAAACTGAATACAAAGTCAATGTTGCTTGCTAATGGCCTCATCCTCTGGGACAAAACAGTTCTGATTGACTAGGTTCTCAATGTGTGGAATTAATATTACATTTCAATAAGCATAATAAGCAAATTGATACATCTGCATCTGGAAAACAGCACATATTTTGCATCTGGGCTCTTAATTAATACATGGATCTGATTTTTAAGAAAACAAATCCTATAGTTCCAGGTTAACACTGATTATACATTGACATTTACAATTTTTTTAAAATCCCCTTAACTATTCTTGGAGGTGGCTATTATTTTCTCCTTTTATAGATAAGGAAAATACAATCCAAAGTTTAGGAATCCTACCTAATATCACACAGTTAAAAACTCATGGAGCATTGATATGAGATCTGACTACAAACTTTCAAACTATCATTTTGTTTTTGTGAAAGTTTGAATTTTGTATGTGACTAGTAACCTAACTATTTTATACCTCAATTTCCCCATCCTCAAGAATGATTCAGTTTCCCTCTATTGACATTGGATTCAAAATGAAAAATATTTCAAGAGAGTACCAATTATAAAATAGCATTCAACTAAACTTATAATAATTCTTGATGCTTTTACTGCATAAAATTCTGACTTCTTCTTTTTCTTTTTCTCTCTGAATTCCACATGGTCATTTACCTTCCTCACATCTTCAATTCCATTTAAGGAAAAATATAAACTGAAACTTTTTTTAGTGATAAAATAATATTCAGTAAAAAATACCCAATCATCATCATTTTCAGAACTCTTAGGGATTTGCCAGTGCAGAATTCAGCAGGTTCCTCCTAAACATTTTCCAAATGTCCCCAGCTGTGCTTCTCAGAATCAGACCAGACCATGGCTAGACAGATAGTCACATCAAAGTGGCATCTTATGGACAAAGAGAACTCCCTCCTCCAGAAGTCTACCAGAGGATCCATGAGGATGAGATCATCCCTGCAAATATTGTTTGCCTTGCTTTTCTCTTTATTTTCTTAACCAGGAGAGTGTTTGTCCATGAAATGGTTTGGCAAGGCTTATCATCCCAGAGGATTTCTTAAACTAATAGTCCCAATGTCAAGCATAGGAAGAAAAGTAATTATTTTTGAACACAAAATATTCTTTATTATGAATTATCAAATTGTTTTTCATTTTGAGATTTCCAAAGTTTTATTTTTATCCCTATTTGTAATTTGGCCCAAGTATGATACTATCAGTGAAAAACCTATTGACTTGCTTTTTTTGTGTTTTGTGTGTGTTTTTTAATCAAAAGTAAAATATTGTTTCGAGTTGAATGAGTGCCTCAATTCTCTGAAAAGCTCTTACACGACCTTACACCTACTTGTTTCTCTTGTTGAAAAGTAAATGATTTCATTAGGGAACACCCTGGAAATGAGAATCAACAGTGAATATGTTTTCC